GTTGCTTAAATGCCCTAATTGCATTTGTTTTGAACAGAATGTGGTCCTAAATTGATAGTATCTATGCAAGGCACTTGAAAGTGGTCAATTTTCCTAAGCTGGGAACAATTGCAAACAAGAAACGATTGGAGGAAAAAATGAGAAAAAAATAATGGGCATTCTAAATGAGGGTTGTTTAAGAAAACTTTGATAGATGCTGTCTCCTCCACAGCATGCACACAGTTCTGCAGTCATTGAAGATATTCTTAGCTAAGAATCTATCATTGTTAAAGAAGAGAAAATCAGAAATAATAACAGTAATAAAAACCCAAACAGGAAAAGAAGGGATTTGGTAACAAAAGCAATGAATTAACTGTTACATAATGCAGAGACCTGGAAGGCTAATCTGGAAGAGCAGTCAATGAAAATGATGTTTGGTGGCATTAAGGACTATTAGGGAGTGTGCATGTGTGTGTGTTTATATGAATGTATATCAGAAAGAAAATTAATGCCGCATGGTTTTAGATGAAGCTGGCAAAGACTCTGCTCTGATACTGAAAAAAAAAAGGTGTCCAGTCAAAGAGAAAAGTAGCCTGATGGGTCCCTATCCTACTGAGGGAATGGAACCAGGCAGCACATTAAATGACAAGTGGTAAATTGAAATGTTTGTACATGTCTAGGAATAGAAAAACCACCTTGAATAGTTCATTGTATGTCAGTACCTGGGTGTTGGGGAAGGGTATGCCCAGAGAAGCTGTGGCTGCCCCATCCCTGGAAGTGCCCAAGGCCAGGTTGGACACTCAGAGCAGCCTGGGCTACTGGAAGTTGTCCCTGGCCATGGCAGGGAGTGGAACTGGATGGGCTTTAAGGTCCTTCCCAACCCAGTCCATCTATGATTCTATGAAGTTAGGCCAACAAAATAGGATGGCATTTGTTCAGGTGAGATGAGGGATGGCAGAGAGGGGGACACTCCTAACACTGGGGTATAACAAAAGATGGAAGAGATACTGCAGACCCCTTGTAGTCAGAAGAACACCAGCCTTCCTCTGGGACCTCCAAGGACCTGCTCACTCTCATCAGTTGCTGAGGATACAGTTTTCATACACTAAATGTTACTGAAATTAGGACAAGTCAGATGCTGTGAGTGGTCAGGTCTGCTTGGGGAGCTGATTTTGTGTCAGCAATGGGCTCTCAGGAAGAAAAGTGCAAATTCATACACTCAGAAACCCCTGTGGGCAGAGGAACGATGGTGTTTTGGAGGACAGTGACTCATTTGAAAGTTCCCATGAAGGAAGATGGAGAGTGAGCAGAATGCTCATCCAGCACCATCAATCTCACCTTCTGCCAAAAGCTGAAATGCCAGGAATGATGACTGTCATATTCCAGGCTGGGATTTCCCAGGCAGAAGTGCCTACACTGGGCAGGGAATCAAAATCCTCCATGGCACATGGAGATTTCTTTAGTGTGGGCAAGAGTGGTGAGTAATCCCTGCACAGGAGATGAGTGCACGCTGTCCTTGGGACTTCCAGAGGGCTCTGGAAGTGCTGGCCAGACCAGCACCCAACTCTGACTCCTGGCCCAGCAGCCAGAACCTTATTGAGGAGCTCAGAGGATGAACTGTGGTGTAGAAAACCAGACCCCTGTGGAGCCCTAAACAAGTTTCACTTGAAGGTATATCCAAGCTGGTCACAGCCTGGAGGGAAAGAAAAACTCCCAGGGGAACATTCTTGAAGTCACTGGGATTTTCTGTGTAGGAAGAGCCAGTGGGGACAGGGTGACCCCAGACACAGTATTCAGGTGCAGCTCCTGGGGCTGGAGCTGTTCCACCTGTGAGTTAGTTTGCTGTTGGACAGTCTGTCTCAGGGCGAGGTGTGTGGTGCAGCTCTCTGCCTTCTGCCTACACCTGTATCAGACCAGCTGGATGCAGAAATTCCAAGTGTGGACCGTCTGGCCACACCTTACCTCCAAGGACAGACATAACCCAGGACCAAGAACTGATCTCAAGTGTAAGAGAAATGCACACAAAGGCTCCCAAGGACTGGCCCTTATTCTTCAGAGGGGCTCTTATCCCCGTCCCCATCCCCCTGTCCACACCACCTGCACGCAGCAAGGCCCTCATACACATTTCTCCTAATTATGGCTTCCAGCAAAGTGGCTTGTGCTGAAAATTAGCGAATCCCAGCTGGAAAATCCAAGGGATTTCCTGAGACAAACAGCTGCGTGAGGACATGGGAGCATGCTCATTCCTGGGTATAAAGAACACCCATAATAGTTCCATAATAAAAACTGAGAAGGCTTAACAGCACCCAGAAGTGTCCTTGTGTGCCACAGCAAGGACCAAGAGCAGGGCATGTCTGGAAAACTCTTTGTAATGGGGATTCAGCACTTCAGAAGCAAAAGCATTAAGCTGCAGTAAAAGCACTTTTTAAATGGTGAGGGAAGTCAATAAAGCCTGTGGGGCTGCAGGGTAAGTGGTCTTGTCTTCTCCACTCAAAGGGGGAGCAGAGTCTGTGGAGCGGCCAGCCTTGGAGCTCAGGTTTGGTGGATCCCATGGGGCTACAGGAGCATGAACCCTCTCAGAACCACACGCTGCTATCATTTATCCAGGTGTCCCCCTGTGCCCTCAGCCTAGCTGGGACATTCCCATGGTCTGGATGTGTGGGCAGTGTTTACCTGTGGTGCCTGCAGTTCCCTGCTGCCTGGCAGGCTCACAGGGGGGTGCTTTGGCTTGTTTGGGGGCTTGAGGGGTGGCTCCCCTGATGCTGGGGTGGAGGGAAGGTGTCCTTGTCTCAGGATGCTCCCTCTTCCTCAGAGAACTCGTGTCACAGGTGGCAAAAAATCCAGACAGTTCAGCAGCACACACAGAATCGCTGTAGTTTAGGAGTTTTCTTAATTGGAAGAAAATATTATGACATATTGGAGGCACCTGACAGAGATATAGCAGGAGAAATCTCTGTACCCTGTTGCTGTTAGGAATGCCCAACCAACGACAGGGACAGGCTGACTGCCCTGCCAAAGGGAGGAGAGGAGGTGTCTCCCCGAATCCAGAATGATTGATAACACAGTTATTTGGAACCCACTAGTGGATATATTCTTAGAAACTAGAACCTCGTTTTCTCATGCTGCAAAATGTCATTTCCTAGGACTGGCTAAGCAGAAATTGGATTTTGTTCCTTGCCTTCAGAACTGAACAGCACAACAGACCGATAAATATTGATTGTGCTTTTATATTTTAAATTTTTTTGTTAAAGCACCCTTGTTTGATTACAAATACATTAGAGATGATCAGAAAGAGCAGCAGGACAGACTTTTGTGATGGTGTTAATCAAATCTCTTTGATGAAGGGACTCTGTGGGAGGTTAAAAGCCCCACACCTGGATTTGCCCAGCTTCTTGGCTGTAGCCACAAGGTCCACTTTTGTGTCTCTCCAGCACAGTAACCTTCACTCAGGCTTGCATTTGTTGGAAAAGTCCTGAGTATAGCTGCAGGGTGCTCATTACATGGTTCATTACCAATCCTATCCCTGGCAAACAACCCTGTGTGCTGTGCTGGGGGTATCCCTGCTGGAAGGATCCCTGGCCATGTTCTGCTGAGCTGCTCCAGGACATTATTTCACCTGATGGCTGTGCTGCAGAGTTGGGACGTATGTTGTAATGGTATTTTTAATTTGGGATGTTGGGGATTTGTCTGCTCATTCAGAAATGTGTGTACCCTCAGGAGACAGAGGTCTAGGGAGAGGTTTTCTCCTTGGAATCAGGAAAGGGATCTGGGCAGCCAACCCTTCTCACCCAGAGCTTTGTTGGGGCTTGGGGCACCCTGGTCTTGTGGAAGGTGGCCTTGCCCATGGCCTGGCCTGGAACAAGGTGGTTTCAGGTGCCTTCCAGCCCCTCTGTGATCCTGGACCCCACATCCCTGCGGGGCACTCAGGGTGCACATCCTGGTTCCTGTGTGCCACAGGACATGGGTGATGCCAGTTCAGAGTGTGCCAGCTCTGGGGGAAGGATCCTTGTAGCTGGCCACTATCCCAGCTGGCCCAGCCTAAGGGACCACTGGCTTGTGCTCCAGCTGGGCAATTTGACCCAGAGAGCACCCAGCACCCCTCACCTGTACACCCACAGAAACCCCCATTGTATTACAGCCAGCAAGAGGCCAAGGGACAGTGTTTGCCCTAAACACTGCTCTGTTAGTCTGGTAAAAGGGCCCTAAAGCAGGAAAAGCCTTGTGTCCCTGTGCCTCTCCACCCCACACTGCACCCCCAGCCCTCTTGGTGAGCCAGGTTCCTGGGTAAGCCCGTGGACATGCAAGAGCTGTCAGGATGGAGATGTGGCAGTGGTGGTGAGCAGCACCAGGTCCAGCCCACGGTGCTGGGGGAGGCTCTGGGGGCAGCTTGGCAGGCACAGGGACAGCACTGCTGCTGGAGCCTGGGATGGGATGGGATGGGATGGGATGGGATGGGATGGGATGGGATGGGATGGGATGGGATGGGATGGGATGCGATGGGATGCGATGGGATGCGATGGGATGCGATGGGATGCGATGGGATGCGATGGGATGCGATGGGATGCGATGGGATGCGATGGGATGCGATGGGATGCGATGGAGCTGCAGCAGGTGGGAGTGTCCAGAGGCACGGAGCAACCCAACCTGCATTGCTGGGGTCTGCACCAAGGTGGTCCTTGAGGCATTTCCAGTGCTGCACGTCTGCTTTCGGAAGCGTATCTGTTGTTAAAGATACCGAGAGCGTTTGGCAGGATTTCAACCCCCAAACTTCAAGCCAGTGTCAATTCGCAGGGTGAGGATTTGCTGGCAGGAAGCAGAGCAATCCCTCAGCGCTCTGCAGGTGCCCGTGGGGGGACAAGCCCCAGCTCTCCGGGGACATCCCTGGCAGCTCCTGCCAGGGGCTCTGCCGGGGGCTTCTCCAGCCAGAGCTTTATGAACCCATCCTTTCCCTGGCCCATTCACCATGCCTCACGCCTCCTCCCCCTCTCGCCGTCCCTCCCAGCCTGCCTGCTGGATCCCCAGCAGTCTCTCGGCACCTTGGGGGAAGGCTGGGAGGTGTAACCATCGCCAGCGAGCGAGGGAGAGCAGGAGAGAAGGAGAAGGAAGCCAATAACAGGGAGGTCCAGGAAGGTGGCGGAGGGGGAGGGACGGGGCCACTCCTCCATCGGTGGGACTGCAGATTATTTTGCATGGATTGTTGAAGAGAAAAGGGAGCTGCATTTGTGAAGGGACCAAAAAATAAACAGCTCATTGCTCGGGTAAGTGCCAATGCGAGCTCCCGGGCTCTCATTGTCATGCTGTACATCGATCCCCCCCTCCTATTTTGTTTAGTTATACTGGGTTTGATTCTTATTAGGATTATTTGATGCATCAGCTGTATGCTTCAGAGGCTGGAGACTGACTGGTACGTGTGTGTGTGTGTGTGTGTGTGTGTGTGTGTGTGTGTGTGTGTGCGTGTGGGAAGATGCCCATTCTCTGGATATACATTGACACATTTTTCCAGCTCTCAGTGTGGTGTCTCATTCGCAGTGTTACCCCAAAGCGTGCCGTACACACACACACAAATGGTGCTTGCTGCTCCTGCCTTTAAAATCCACTCACACACGCAATTATTGAAGCTGAAAATTAAAGGGGGGGGTTCTTAAATCACAGTCCTCAGTAGTAGGGGGCTACTTCTCTTTATCCTGAGCCTGACACGTTCAGTATTATGTTTTATAGCAAAGCTACATTTAAAGATCAATTCGGCAGTGGTTATTGCATCCAAATTACATGGTTGTCATGGAGATGGTACAGAGAAGCTGAAGTGATATGACTGCATCTGGACTGGAGTGGGGCTTCGCTGCCGAGTGAGATCCTGCCTTGCCTCCCGTGTCTTTTTGTCTCTGCTGGGTTACAATTTCTTTTAATCTTGAATGAAGCGGTGCCGTATTAGAGGATTTAGAGGTCGAGCTGCTGGGAAGGGTGTGCGTTACCCCCACTCAGCACTGGGTTATTACCATAATTGTTCTATTAACGTCTGCATCTCCCTGAATTTCTTCCACAAGTCTGGGAAGGAGGAAGGCATGAGAAGGACAGATAGTTTTCTGCACACAGCCAGGGCTGGGAGTACTTTCTGAAAGGATACCTGCCATGCCCACACCTCCCTGCTGGCTCCCACACCTTGGGGGACAAAAGGGAAAGGATGCTCTGGTTTTAGCCATGTTTATCTTCCATTTTGCTACCTCAACTTTGAGGATTCAAGGAGCCAGTCACCTGCTCATCACTGTGTCAGGGGAATGGCTTTTTTAATTATTATTTTTTAATTATTATATTTGTTGGCTTTGCAACTGGTAATATGGATGTGTTGGCAGTTGGGAAAGAAAATCCATAATTTATAAGAATGAAATTTTCCTGCCTAAGGCTAGCTGGAATACAAAGAGTATATCTGTGGGAAGGGCATGTTATATGTTACAGATGTGTATTTCTCTAGCACCTGGGAGTAAATCACACCATTGTGCTCATCTTCATTATTTTGGGTGTTAGGCTGGCTTTAGTCAATATTTAATCTAAACTCATTGTGTGTTCACACAATAAACATGCAATTTGGAGCCTAACTTTACATCTCTAAAATGCTTTGGGAATGCATGTGGCATTGTCTCCATAAATGCAATTTCACCCTTTTCTGTGAGACCAAGCCTATTGTGGGCATGTAAATATAGTAAAAGGCACTGGTGGAAGCAAGCCCATCAGAATGGCAGTGTTTCTCTAATTGTATCACTAAACATAAGACAGAATTAATTACTAGGATAAACAGAGCTTTGTAGCTCTTGGATCAGGATAATATTTGCATGGAGTTCCAGGCCTGCATTATAGTAGCTGGCATTATGGCTTTAATTCCCCCCATGCCAGTAGATAATGTTTTTAGCCAGGAGTGGAGCATATTATCATTAGATATTTTTGCTTTAAAAATATGCTAAATCCCCATGTCCTTGTCAAATTGTCCATTGCAACTGTTCCAAAGTCTGTGATTCAATAGGATTTTCCTTAATGTGATTTTTCCCATACAAGTCCAAGCAAACAATGGATAAAGTCTGAAAGTGGGTGGCCGAGTCCAGAGGGGCAGTCAGAGAGATGGCTAATTCACAAAATGGATGGTTCTCATTCTGTGCCTTTTTTCCCCCTAAAAGTTAGGCACAAGTGGAGTTGAAGTGGGTGGTTTTCCCTGGAGATCCCTTTAGGGGTGTGAGGCTGGAAGCCAAATAGTTCTGCATTAATACTGAGCTCCTTCTTATCTCAGCACCTTATCACTCTTCAGCCCACCCTAGGATGTGGCTGGATTATTCTCTGGGGAAACTGAGGCTTGGCGTGGTTAAATGACTTTGCCAAGGTGACAATGGCAGTGTTGGGCAGGGGACAGAGGAGCTCTGCCAGGAAAAACCTCTGTGTGACCACCAGGCCTGTTCAGCGTCCTGCTTGCACGGGGGAGGTGGTGATGGGGAGCAGCAACTCCAGTTCATGGAGGCCACTGAGGCCACTCATGAGAGCTCCACAGAGGGTGGCAAGAGGGACTCAAGCACTTTCAGACCAGATTCTGAGGTGCCCAAGACAAGGACTTACTTTTCTGACCTCAGGCTGTCCTCCTTGTCTGGCCCATCACGTGGCTCTTCACATGAAGCCCTCACAGGTGTCTTGGCTTTCTGCTCTCCCCACTGGTGCTCCTCACCTCTCATCTCCCTGCTGAAATACCCTGAATTGCTGTCCTGGACTCCAACCCACAGTACCATCACTTCTCTGCTCTCCATCCCACCACCCAACACCTTTTTGTCCTCTTCCTCCATGGGTTTTCCCAGCAATGAAGTTCCCACCATCCAACAGTTTCACAAGCTTCCATGCCATGGGTTTGTGTGTTCTGTGCCTGTCCTGAGGCACACAGTGCTGGCTATGTCACGCCACCATGTCAAAGCAACCCAAGTGAAAAGTCTCCTTTGAAATCTGAAGTTGCCCCATGCGGTGTCCGTGGTTCTGCACAAAGCTGGAGCTGGTGCTTGTTGCCAGAAGGAAATGGATTCCCTGTTCAACTCACACACAGGCATCTCTGTGTGGCCCTGCTGACCGGCACAGGTCGGTGGAGTTGCCAGAAGGATGTTCCCTGGGCTGGGAGGGAGATGTGGCTACTGCCAGCAAGGTGCTGGCTATGGGCACAGCGATTCCTGCTGAGGGAAAACTTCCTTGGAGGTTGAGTGTGAGCAGCCCCTGGAGTGGGTAATCTCCTGGTGGAAGTGGCCACATCCCTTGTGGGTGCTGCTTGCTCTGCTACGTGACAGTCTCTGCTGTGGACACACCTCCTTGCCAGATTTGCTGGAGGTGAAATCATCCTCTTTGCCCTTTTGTCAGGGGAATGCCTTTCCCAGGGATGTGCTGGGACAGGATCCATGGGAGGCTCGGTGCATCCAGGCTCTCAGTGGCTGGATGGAGCCATAGGAGTGGTTCAGGGGTAGATGCTGCACAGGAGGCTCGTGGTACTTCCCTGTGGGGGTTAGGGTGTGGGGTAACAGGGACAGGGTCAGTTCTGGCTCCCTCCCTGTTTCCTGTGACCCAGGCTGGGCTCATGGGGGAGAGGCACCTGTCCAAGCTGGACAGTAACCACCTCTCCCTTCGTCCTCACTGCTGTGCTTTGTGCTCCTGCAGGAGCTCCAGGAGGGGCTGAGGTGCTCAGGGAGGTCCTTCCCTGCAGTCCATAGCCCCGACCCTTGCTCAGCTCCAGGTGGGGACACTGGTGATTCCTCTAGAGCAAACACTGCCCATCACTGGATCAGGCCCAGTGCTCCCTCACTTGCACCAGGCAGGGCCAGAAGGAGTAAGGAGCTGCAGGCAGCCTCAGCAGACATTCTGCAGCTGAGCCCAAGCTCCTTCTTGTGCTCTCCATGCTTTTTCTGGGCTCTGGGCCTCAGCCTAGCACTGGCCACACAACCTACCTCTTCACCACCACTGCTCACATTCCCTCCAATCCTTCCCCTGCTGCCTTCTCAGCACCTCGCTCCCCTCATGGTTCCTCAGCTCTGTGGTTCTGAAGGTGGAAGAGGCAGGGCAGGCAGGTGGCTGAGGCTGTAAGCTCTCAGGCTGTTTGAAGGAACCGTCCCCACATCCCCATGTCCTGGCCAGGAGCTCTGCTCACACTGGGTCCCAAAAGAGGAGACCTCACCTGAAGGGACCTTCCCAGCACCTCTCTGAGGGGTGCCATGGGAGCTGCTCAGGGTGTCACCTCTGTGGTGCCACCAGCCTTGCCTCATCTTCTGCTATGTCCTCTTCTTCTCAGAAACATGCTGCATGGCTCCCAGTGAAGGTGGTGCTGCTCGGATGTCCTGACATTGGTGGCTGCTGTGACACACCTCATCAGGGGCAGGGAAGGGGGAATGCTTCCTTCCAAGCAGGATGGATTCATCCCAGGATTTTCTGCCTTCCTCTACAGCATGGGACATGGTGTGGTTCCAAGGAAAGCTCCCAAAGCACCAGTCTGGCACTGGTTTTGTGTCTCCTGCTCTCCAGCTCTGCAGAGGCCCCCAGTGTCTCTGGGAGCTTTCCATGTGCTGTGATGGTGGTAGGGCCATGCTGGGGACAGGGCTGCTCTGTGACCTTGAGGGTGAAGTGTTTGCTGGGCTGGGGGCTCATAGCTGGGTTTGGTGTCTTGTGTGGTCACTGCCCATCCTCGTGTCCCTCCAGGCAATGCAGCTGAGCTCCCCTGGGAGCTCCCCTGTCTCTGTGGCCTTGCTGTGGCCCTGGGATGGAGAACTGAATTCCCCCTCAAAAGATAGAACCTAGGAGAGAAATCCCAGTGGTGTCCCCTTTCTGGGGGTTAGAGCATGTGCCTCTGAGTTCTCCTGATCAACATCAAGCAGGACAACTGACATCAGACCCCAGAGCCTGATACACTCACGGTTCACCAACCATACTGAAAAACCCAGGGAAAATAACATGAGCCCAGCCTCCTCTCTGGCTTCTCCTCCCCCATGTGCAGTTGTCTCTCTATTGTTTTCTTGATACTGAAAAACAAATTTGACCCAAATATAATTTTCTTTTAAATCTTTAAAAAATTGTAAGATAGTAGGGAAATGCTGTGATACCAAACTCAATTGAAGGGTTGCATTTTTTTTTTGTTTTCTGGATTTGCTTACATGCTCCAAAGTCAAGGCATAAAGCTCAGTTCTTGCAACATTTTGTTTGTTTGTTTGTTTTAAATTAAGCTCTTCAGTGGTTTCAGCACAAGTGCATCACAACTCTA